TACATATCTCCCTTAACTTTTTAATATATATTTATTTTCTCCTGTCTTAACATCCCATAAAAAGATGGAGCTTGAATGACTACTTGATGCTAAAGTAATTCCATCAGGAGAGAAACAGACTAACTTTACACTCTTGGAAGGACCATTTATTTTAATTTTTTATTGCCCATTCTTAACATCCCATAAACGTATTGATTCATCATCACTACCAGATGCTAAAGTATTTCCATCAGGAGAGAAACAAATTGACATTACACCTTGATTGTGACCATTTAATTTATTTTATTATTGCCCTATCTTAACATCCCATAAACGTATGGAGTTATCCCAACTACCAGAAGCTAAAGTATTTCCATTAGGAGAGAAACAGACTGATTAGACAACACTAGAATGACCAACTAATTTATTTTTTGATTATCCTGACTTAACATCCCATAAATAGATAGAGTGATCATAATTACCAGATGCTAAAGTATTTCCATCAGGAGAGAAACACACTGACTTTACACCACCATCAGCAAAACCATCTAGTTTATTTTTTGATTATCCTGATTTAACATCCCATAAACGTATGGAGTTATCCCAACTACCAGAAGCTAAAGTATTTCCATTAGGAGAGAAACAGACTGATTAGACAACACTAGAATGACCAACTAATTTATTTTTTGATTATCCTGACTTAACATCCCATAAATGTATGGAGTTATCCCAACTACTAGATGCTAAAGTATTTCCATCAGGAGAGAAACAGACTGAGTAGATATTTCCAGTATGACCACATAATATAGTTTTTTATTATCCTGTTTTAGCATCCCACAAACGAACAGAGTTATCATTACTGCCTGATGCTAAAGTATTTCCATCAGGAGAGAAACAGACTGAGTTTACACAATTATCATGACCATGTAATTTATTTTTTTATTTTTTATTCTTTACATCCCACAAACGAACAGAGTTATCATTACTGCCTGATGCTAAAGTATTTCCATCAGGAGAGAAACAGACTGAGTTTACACCTCTATCATGACCATTTAATTTATTTATTTATTATCCTGTCTTAACATTCCATAAACGAATATATTTATCACCACTACCAGATGCCAGAGTATTTCCATCAGGAGAGAAACAGACTGAAAAAACATCACCATTATGACCATCTAATTTATTCAACTCATTTATTTTAATATTTATCCATTTGCAATTAAATAATTATGCTCCATTCAAATTTAGACCACTTATATCTACATTATCAAATTACGATCCACTTAAATTACATCTTACAAAATTACCACCCCTTAAAGAAGTATTTTTAATTCTAATATTTTCAAAGCATAATGACTTTAAATCTACTTTCATTTCCACCAATAAATGAAGTGAATTTGATCCACATACAATGAATTATTTATCAATAGCAGTTAAATAAACTAAAAATTTTAAATACGATATGATCTTATTACTTTCTTTTATTTTACTCATTAGGGATTCTTTTTTTTCTTAAAATTCTTCACACGAGATATCCCTTTAATTGAAGTCATAATTTTTGACATCTTTTAGTATATTATGAATTAATTTTATATCCTTCCCTAAAGTTTCTAAATTTTATACTCCATTTATATCAAATGAATTTTTATGTTTTATGATCCTCGATTGAAGATTTTTTT